TAGTAGTAGTATATTTTATTTATTTTTTGTGAACTACCCAGTAAGTTACAACAAGAAGTCTGCTAATGTGCAGACTGGCTTCCGTCACCTTTCTCCTGCCCCACAGTATGGAAATTGTAAGAGAAAACAGATCACAAGAGTGTCAAACATTCTGGTGTTAGTGTATTTCTATTAACACAGAGATGAAGAGAGGCTTTGGAGTAGGCTACTTGCTGAAGGATAACAAAGACCTAATCTGTTAACAAGAAGACATGCTCACAATGGCTTCTAAGTCTCCAGTCATATTATCTGGGGAGTAGAAATAACGGGATTTGGTGATGACTGGGTGTAGCAAATATTTATATACCACGTGAATAAAGATATTCTAATCAAAATTTAAACAAAAAAGAACTCAGAGATTATGTCACAGTTTGAGCGCAGGGATTGCGATGGTTGAAAAGCAGAAGCAGAGCCAATTCTGACATATCCTTTCTCAGGAATTACAAGATACATAGCGATTTATTCTTATCGTGGAATAGTGTTCACTGAGGTGGCTGTTCAGTAGTTGAGACGGGAATAAGGCGCAGGGAGGCTGGGTCCTTTGTCCTTCCTCCCCGAGAATGGCAGCGCTCGAGTCCGTTTCTGGAAGCAATTGTCTCCCGCGTAAAACATGTGCCTCCAGTTTAAACTTAAGATAAGCATTAGAGAATGTATTACAAAAATGGGATGTGGTTAGCAAACGAATAACGGTAGACATGTACAAACTGTACTGGTGGTCCAGTACGGAGTACAACAGAGGTTTCTTTCAGTTGGATACTAACAATATTTAGTCGTTTTTATAACGTAAATTCGTGATACTGTTTGTTGAATTTAATTGGCAATCAGCACGGATTTGTTAAGCTTCGTACTGTCCCGACGTATTTTGCGGCAAAGGTTACGCGTTTTCAAGGCAAACACACATCTAGCGTAGTCCACTGCATACCTGCTGACCCGTGTCAGCAAACCGTAAAAGGCGGGTACGCCTCAGGAATAAGTGAAACCGAGCTCAAAGCAACTCCAGTGAACACAATAGCAATGAAACTGCAACACAAACAAGCGAGGAAATCCAGCCAAACAGATTAGTGCAATCCAGCGCTGACAGAGGTTCTTGTTGTCTGCTTTGTCCACGCGTAGTAAAAGAGCAGAGGAGGACTTACCAGTTCTTGTTGTTGTTTTTCTTGCTCGTCTGCGTTCAGTTTCTGAGAAACAAAAATTAATCCATGCTGTGCAGTGTCCACAGTCCTTCGACAGGCAGAACCGCAGCTTTTGACAGGCTTTGGACGTGAATCGATCAGTGATACGCGGGTCTCTTGTGAGTGTGATTGTGTGTTAGGATGAAACGCCTTTTCTCCTCCAGCTGCATTGTTGACATTGGTTCCCTGACGTCATGCTGACCCCCCATTCACAACAGCGGCCAAGAGACCCCCTCCCCTCCTACGAAAACAAAGCCCCGCCCTCCAGACGACGTAGCACAGATGTGTTGTGGACTTGAGGCTCAGGAAGATATCAGACCAACATATTCACGAGGTGAATTATCTGTCAAGCTGCTGTTCATTTCAGCAGATCACAATGTTCCAAGCTAATAGCATAACATTTACATTTTGAACAGTGATTCATATTTTTAAGATGCATCAATCACCGACTGTATTCAAATTATAAAAAACAAAACTTTTGGGAAAAATCCATTAGGTCTAAAGAGAAGTCGATAAGAATGGAAAAAAATGTTCTAGTTAGAATCCACTTTCCACAATAGTTTGAACACAAATCATGAAGACTTAGAGAATGTAAATAAATACGTTTTTTTGACTGTGACTGTGACTTTGACAGGACAATGATTACGCTCTCTGATGCTTCAACAGGACATGATTCTGGAAATCACTGCATTCGCCCACCAACACTTCTGAAAAACAGCGTGAACACAGTTTCTCACTTGATACACAAAAGTTGAAACTTTACAACAAAACAACAACAACGAGATGGAGAAATACCGCTACCTTCTCGTGCAATTTTTTTTGTCTGTTTTACATTTTACACTGTTACAGTTCTTTTAGAGATGGTTATGTACCTTGTCAACATTTCTTTTTCATTGTCCCTAAAATGAAATAACCAATTTATGTTGCTCAAAAGCACTGGGAACAAAATTAGTGGCATGTTCTTGTTGCTGGTTAAGTTACATTGAATCTAAAGTACAACACTTGTGCAGGCACAAAGCAGGTGTAGTTCTAGCTTTAAATCACGTGTTTTAAACCCTGTTTGCAGTGTGTGAAGGCCATTCTGAGCTGGGCAGTGGGTGTGACATTGTTTCTAATACATAGCATAATCCTGCAGAGCTGTTACATTTTATCAGTTTGCCAAAGACTGGCACCTCCTGGGCTTCATTCTGAGCAGTTACATTCAGATCAGCCCACATTCTCAATGTCAAGCTGTTATAAATAGCTGTGACTGATTTTTGCAGATTCTCTGGCAACTAAGATCACTGCAGAGTAGAGACGAGATGTATTCATGGTTCCATGAATTCTCATGGTAGGAAATAACAAGGGTTGCATGGGTTCTCTCCAGGTAGTCCGTCTTGACGTGATTTATAGCACACCAGCAAAAACCAAGAAAGGGAATGGGTCCGCCTCCACACTCAAACACAAAAATTACTATAGTCAGTGGTTAATGGGGCATTTGGCAGGTGAACAAGCCCTAGCATAAGATATAATGCTGTTCACAGTATCACATCAAATGTGCTGCAGAACTATAGAAAGAGAAATAAAATCAAGTCGGATTTTCAGCAACATGTATACAATCATAATAAAAATAAAGTTAACCACACAGTGGAAAGTACAGTAACATGCATATTTTAATTCTCTTCTTTTTAAAACAACCAACAACAATGTTGGGCAGCTGGAAAAAAAATCAGTGGAGGCAGCAGTAGAAGGCCAGTATGACAGCTACATGAAACAGTTTCACATACATTATATCGCCAAAAGTGTCTACTCACCCACCCAAATCATTTCATTGAGATGCTCCAATCATTCCTCAACTCATTGAGTTCCAGCGTGGTACCATGTTAGGAAGGATGCCATCTGTGTGACAAGTCCAGTGATGAAATTTCCTGGCTATCTTTACTGTATTCATTCATATAGAATAGATATCTGAGATTAAAACTGTCTTATTTTTTGCTAAATGTGTCTAACAAGGCAGAGATGATACAAACACATAATCCCACAAAGTTGATTCTGTTCATCTGGACGTAGCTTTACACCCATAATTATACATTACTACAAAAATAGTACAAGAAAAGGAGTATTTCCTGTTTGTGTTATTATTAGAGGTACAAAATAAGATGAGAAATACATTTAACTACAACAGGTTAAGTTGGTATACTGTTTATCTCCTGTTCAATTCAGTTACAATTCAGTTTTATTCATACATCTTAAAAATCACAACAAGTATCCCTCCCTCGTGTCCTGTTTGTGCTTAAGCATCAAGGCTCGTAAAAACCTTATCACCTCTTTGCTGTTTGAATCTGCTCTTGGGTCTCATCCACATACTCATCCTGATGTTTGTACGTCACAGCTGAATGAAAACCAGGTGACATGTCTGACACTGAAGCCCTGAGGCTGAGGCTGAGGCGGGGCGTGTCCAAATGAAGCCTATGTCAAGGCCCGTACTGGTCTTCAGAATAGCATGTGACCAAAAATAAATGAGACCCTGTTTCTCTGAAACGACGTCATGGCCTTGTTATATGAGTTGAGTTGTTTAAAAGAAGTGGTAGTTAGTTTTTTGCGTGAACTGGATCTGGGGTTATTTTGGCGTTCATTACAAGCTTGCACAGTATGAAGCCGGCAAAAAGTCGAAAAATATCAGCAGTTAGGGAGCATTTTGACATGCTGTCATCCAATGATAACATAAGTCTTAAATGAATCTCAGAGATGATGTTTAATTATGTCTATATACATATATACACAGGATCCTATATGGGTATTCTGCAATTGATACATCATTGTTTATATATCGACTGGTATGTAGCCCACGTGTAAAATAAACAGCCGGGCTGCTGTACATCGAATGACCAGCAGATGTCAGTACTTCCAAATGAGCTTCATCACACCATCACTAATGGGCAGCATTCATAACCTGTCTACATCTTTCATTTTTTTGATTGTGGATACATTACTGGCATGAATTATTATCCATAAAATTGTAATCTCTCTATAAGATTAAAGTCAACCTTCAAACAAAATTCAAAGAAAGCTAAATAAAAACAAGTTTATGAGACTTTCATATATGTACGGACACATTTGCACGTGAATGTTTACCAACAGACCCTCAAAATCTCAGCTCGTGCAAAAAAAGAGGCATGGGCTGCGAAATGTATATTTACAGAATCCAAAGGAAAGACTGTGTGCTTAGTTTGTGATGCACAGGTCACTGTGTTCAAGAACCACAATTTAAAGGTTATCAAACATGCAAACAAATACAAGAACTTGTCTGATAGAGACAAACTGCAGAACCAACAAGGATTTTTTTTTAACAAAACTTCATGCACCAGGGATGCAGCTGCCAAGAAAAGTTATTTCATATCCCACAAAATTACTATTAACAGTAAATCTTTTTCTCATGGAGACTTTATCGAAGTGTTTGTTGAACTCTCATATGTCCCAATAAATAAGTCCCAAAACACGTCTTTTTTTTTTTTTACTAAAAGAGAAAAGTAAACTAAAACATAGAGGAAACACATATTTCCTCTTAAATGGTGCCACATTTTTAAGGAAAGTGCAGTTGTGAGTTGAGCAGCAGAGATGAGTATTAATTGCACCCATTTAAAAAAAACACACAAACAAAAAAAACTTGCCAAATCTTCTCTGCCAATGCTAAACAGCTTTTTCTGCTACTGACTCTTATTTTGAGCCTCTGTTGACAGTTGGATGCCCGACTATTTCCTCCTTAGCAGCACCTGTGAACATGGACCCTGCTCGTCACATTTGACTGGTCTGGATGGGGCCCGTGGCACAGGGCGACTTCAAGCTGGTGTTCCAAAGCTGTTATCATGACTAATCATGCTCGTAAGAGTTTCAGAAACCTGTGTCTGAAATTGAAACATCAACATTTTTTAATATGATGTACCTATGGTATTTGAAAATCTTTTTCCATTCAATTTTATTTCTATAGTTCCAAATCACAACAGTAGTCTCTGCAAGGCAGTTAATCCTGTGGCAGATGACCTTCTGCCTGCAAAGACCCAAACAGGACCACTTTGATTTAAACATGACTGAACTCAGGACAAATAGATTCAAACAAAACAATGGCCAAAAACATGTAAATATAAATCTGTTTCCCTTATTTCTCACTTCCAGCAAGAGGAATGTTCACATTTTGTCGTACAATGTTGCCAGATTTAACTGACTGCCATTAACATAGGTGGACGGATATCAGCTGAAAAGCTAAAATGGTATTAAGTCACAACACTTGCTGGCTGTTTACTCATTTATTGCAGACTTAGAGGTCTGCGACAAGATCAGACGAAAGCATCATGCTGACAAACATTAGTACAAAAGAGAACAGAAATAATCTTACAAGAGGAACTAAGTTTTACTCATTGTTGCAACTCTAAAAAACTGCTCCAATCCAACTGTACATTTTTATGTCTGACTACACTGCCTTATTTGTAATGGAGTATTATCTTATTGTATTAGTAAGAATTTTACATTCCTCTCTGCCAGCTGATGGAAGAGTTTGCTGCTGAACCATAAGCTGAGTAACCACAACCAATAATGTCTTGATGCATGATCGATCATCCAGGAGAGTAAATCTCCAAAAGTTGATTCTGTTCATCTGGATGAAGCGTTTTCAGTGGGAGAAACGTTTCATCATCATCCAGGTGACTTCTTCTGTCTCAGCTGAATCTTATAAACAGTACATTTACATAATGACTGAAACCAGCCCACTGAAGGAACAATGGGAGGTCAGTTCTTTCATCATAATTATGCAAATAATTCATCAGTGGTCTTTGATCAGTGGGCCTTGATCAATGGTCATGAGAATTCTCATGCAAATGATAAAATCAAATAAAATTGGACCTTTGAAATCTACCGTCAACAGTTACTGCAACTATGACAAAATTCCTGTTGTCCGAAAGTTTTATAAGACACGGGAATACCGGGATCCTTCAAAGCAGCTTGCCTCAAAGAATGTTACACATCACATCATAAATCCATACACTGCATGCACAATTACTAGGCAAGTGGGTATTTTGGCCATATCATAATTCTTATGCATATTTTCCAACTTCAAGCTGTATAAACTTATTGGATGTAAGCATATCAGGTGATGTGTATTTGCGTGATGAGTGAGGGTGTGGCCT